AGTGATTAAGATTATGGAATCTGTAGCAAAATGCCTGGGTTTAAATTCCTGCCCTAGCACTTACTACACTTATTTGACCAAGATGCTTACCATTTCCTTGCCATAGTTTTCTAAGCTCTTAAATGGAGATAGTAATAGAACCTACATAATAAGATTATTTATAAAATTAAATGACTTATGCCTAAGAAATGCTTATATAAATTCCTGGCATGTAGTAAGTGCTAAAGAATGTTTGATAGCTAAATACATAGGGAAATAAAAATATATTCAATATATTTATATTTATATATTTATATTCAAATCAAGGTATATTCTACTGGTAAAAGGAAAAAAAAAAAAAATTTGAGAGGTAAATTTGACTATTAAGAGTTTAAACACCAGAAAGTGAAGATCTTGTCTAGTTAGAAAATATTTAGGCCAAGAAAAAACAACCTTCTTTTTCTTTTAGCATTTGTCACTTTTTAATTTGCACCACATTTAACTGCAAACACCTTTAATTCCCTTGCGGTGCTGAAAATTCTGCAAGAATGTTCATCTTTGTATCCTCTGCCCAACAGCACTTGCATATATATAGAAATTGACTCAGGGCTCTTTTGGTGAAGAATTTCAACAATGATAGAGATTGAGTATTATCACATTTTGATATTTAGGTTGGCTCTTATTTCCTTCTATTGTGTAGTGGAAAACATTGAAATTCCAGAGAAAAAAATGAAGAAGATTCCTATAACATATGTCTTGATTTAATTCCACAAAAATGAATTGTATAATTTAAATATACTTTCACTAAAATTGCTATTTAATACATTCCCGATTTTCACTGTAGACTCATTTTTCTTTAAAAACTGAGATAACTTAGATAAAGGTACACTAAGAACAAAATATCCTAGTAGTTTATTCAGAGTGGAAACTTTCAAGATTTTTCATATTCCAGACATCATCATTGGATAAAAGAAGATTGGAATATGTCTCCATTTTTTTTAAAGATTTTATTTATTTATTTGAGAGAGAATGAGAGAGAGAGCATGAGAGGGGGGAAGGTCAGAGGGAGAAATAGACTCCCCGCTGAGCAGGGAGCTGATGCGGGACTCCATCCCGGGACTCCAGGATCAAGACCTGAGCCGAAGGCAGACGCTTAACAGACTGAACCACACAGGCGCCCCTATACCTCCATTTCTAGACACATTATCTTTATGCTCTAGTGTCTCTTCCTTCTGATAAAACCTTGGAAAAAACTCATGTCAGTGAAAATAAACCCCACCACATTAAGATCCAAGGTGAACGTTCTCTTTCCAACTAAGTTCCAATCATGTCACAGTCTTTTAAATAAGATAATAAACTTATTTTTCCAGTTTTGTTGAGAATTGACATGCATCACTGTTTAAGGTGTACAGCATAATGGTTTGACTTATACATATATTATGAAAGGATTACAATAGGTTTAGTTAATATTCATCTTCTCACATAGATACAGTAAAAGAAAATAAAAAAAAAAAAATTCTCCTTGTGATGAGAACCCTTAGGATCTAATCTTTTAACAACTCTACTATATATCACACAGCAATGTTAACTTTAGTCATCATGGTATAAATGACATCCCTAGTATTTATAACTGGAAGTGAAGTAATAAGCTTATTTTTTTTTATAAATATTGATTTATTTATTTGAGAGAGAGAGAGATTGAATCATGGGGGGCTGCAGAGAGAGAGAGACAGAGGGGAAAGGAGAGAAGCAGACTTTCAGCTGAGCATGGAGCCCACTGCAGGGCCAATCTCATGACCTTGATATCATGACCTGAGCCAAAATCAAGAGTCAGACTCTCAACCGACTGAGCCACCCAGGTGCCCCATAATAAACCTATTTTTAAACTAAAAGTTAATTCACTGTCTATAGAAATTGAAAAATTTGCATCAATCCAACCTATGAAAACTTTTCCCCATTACACCTCATCATCCACTGTCTAATCTGGTTAGGCCTTCCTTAGGAATTCCTACCTATGTGCCTTTGAATATCTATAGTGGGTTAAAGATGGCCATAATACTCTTCATCAAATCTCTCACTGAGATGTCAGTTTGAACGCCATACTTTCACCACCACCCCCTCCAGAGAATCCGGGCTTGTCCTGTGACTATTGCAAAAATGAGGTGGTGCCAATTCTGGGCCTTTAAGAGGACTCAGCAGTTTTTGTTTTCTCCCTCTTGGAACACAGATTCTTGGGATGTTCCCTTTTGGATCTTGGCTACCAGGTTGTGAGAAGCTCAGGCTATGTGGAGGGGCCATGTAGAGAATTGAGAGGCTCCAACTGACTGCCCCAGATGATCTTCCAGCTGACAGTTACCAACTGTTACCCATGTAAGGGAGCCATCCTGGCCCAGCAAGATCTAAGCCCCAAGACCCAGCCTTTATCACTCCAAGCAGAACTGCCTAGCTGAGACCATTCAAATGCAAAGAATCAGGAGAGATAGCGAGATAGTTGTTTTAAGTCATCAAGTTTTGGAGTAGAGCTATAACTAAAGCAATATCCTGCTTCTTTCCAATTTATTCCAGTTGCCTTTATATTACTTCTTCAACTAGACTGTAAATTATTCATGGTCACAGATATGGCTCTATTTGCCTCCCATGTGTCCCTGTAGCTATTAACACATTGCTAGACACATGGGACTCTGATTACCTGAGGTTCCCAGTTGAATCATAAATAACAAAATGGAGAAGCAAACAGAGGTAAAAAGGGGCCCTTGGATATAAAACAAATTTTTAAAGACAGGATTTTTATTAAACCAATATTAATAACTAATGTAAAAAGAATGTGTCTTTCATTTTAATCTGTATTATCTGAACAAAGGAATTAACTGTCATTTTATGTGTTTTTGTTTGTTTGTAAACTGAACTTAACATATTAAGTTTAGTTAGAAGCATTGCCATCTATTGGAAATTTATATATGGAATTGTAAAAGAAGACCAGATTGAGTGGAAATTATGATCTGATTCAAATAAATAAAGAGATAAATAAGTAAATGGAGGAAAAAAGCAAAAGTGATTGTTTGGAGCTACACAGTAAAAGGGGTGAACATAATAATTTTCTCCCTCTAGTTTCTACCATATATTCTGCATGTACTTGATTTGGGAAGTAACGGTTATTATACCCAGTCACTGAAACTAACAATGTTCTGGGAATGGGTACTGTTTGCAAGACCATTTAGTAGTGTAACAAGTATGAAGCATAATTCATGTCAGAATCCTGGATTCAGCAAACAGAATGACAATATGACAATATGTCTATTTGGGATCCAGGGCTTTTTTTTGAGGGGGGGGAGGGTATGAAGAAACCATTATTTAAAACGTGAAGAATTTTTAATTTTTTTAATTCCAAGTTTACCTTTGAGTACTTTTATTTCTTAATTGTTAATAACATCTATAAGGCAGAAAATGTCCAATATACTTAAATAATTCCCCAAAACCTTTCCTTGAGGACCAAACCTCCCAGCAAAATCTCTCCATGCTGTTTCTTCTCAGAATTCATATTTCTATGTTTCAGAACTGCACTTGCTGAGAGAGAAAAAGATCAGAAAATAATGCAGAATACAAAAGGCAGGGTGTGTGTGTGTGTGTTTGTGTAAGGGTGGTGAGGAATTACGCCTCTTGCTCTCTGGATTCTTGCATTTGTGAAAAATTGAAGGGTAATTGGTCTTTACATAAAGGACATATTTAAAAACATTTATGAAACGTGTTTATATACTTTTTTGAAATGCAAGTGATTCACAAAGACAAATATTGCAGCACAAAGCTTTATTCATGCAGTCATACAGCCAATATATATTGTTCAAATACATTTTAAAATCATAATGTGAGGAGTTGAAGGCATAATGACTCTTTAACACTCACATCTGTGTCTTTCTCAAGTGAGCCACGGATAGAGAGTAGAAGTGGGTGGCAGAGGGAGGGGGAGGAGAATAGGGAGCCAGCGAGCGAGAGATGAAGAAGAGAGGAAGAAAAGAAGGGAGAGGGAAAATACCAAAATACCGTTCTGGGGCCCACAGTCTCATCTATCCCAAGTATGTGGGCATCACATCTAGCCTGTAACAAAGAGATGGCCATGGCGCTTCTTTTTGGTTCTAGACCGGGCTGATACAAGGGGGCACTGCATGCATGTCTGTCGCCTCATTTAAGTCCCCATTCCTTCAGGAGTTATGAGCTCTGGATCCCAAGAGTACCCAATGCACGTTGCTAGGCACGCAGGTCTCTTGGAGAGGCTGCCCAGGTTCGTGCGTGTGCGCTCAGGGGCGTTGGTGCATCTCTATGTCGGGGAGAGGGAGGAGTCCCTTCTGCCAGAGATAAGTCTCGATCCCCACATCTTCCGGGTATCATGGGAGGAGTGTGCGAGGTCGGAGGGACAGGTAGCCCTTGCAGTGAAAGAGTGCGGAGTGCGGACGAGCAGGGCGGGGGAGGAGCGCGGAGGCACTGCCAAACCTTAACGGGGCCCCGGGTGTTTGCAGACCCAAGTACAGCGCCCTGGGTCTCCGCGGGAGTCGCTCCAGAAGCTGCTGCCTGAGAACCCCGAGCCTCAGCCCTGCCTCGCTTCGGGAGCCTCTTCCTCCTCCCCCCCACGTACCTGGCCTGAGCGGCGGGACCCGGGAAGCCCCTCTCGGCGGGACGGGCCCAGCCTCGGTCCTCCTCCGTCTCCCGCGGCCGCCGCCGCATCCGGGCTCGCTACGCTCCCGCCGGCACCATGGAGGAATCGGGGTAAACCCGCGAGCGCCGGCGACTTTTTCTCCGGAGTCTCTGGCCTGGCGCCTTTTGGGTGAGATGAGTGGGGGAGCGGGTATCTATGCCGGTCTGAGGTTGCCCCGAGAAGCCCTGGCCGAGAGAGAGAGGCTCGGCGGAGGCCGGCAGCTGCAAATCCACGTCCTGCAGCGTCTTCGCCCTCCCCTCTTGCTCGCAGCGGGGTTTGTTTATATAGGGTCTGGAAGCTGGGCGGAATTGCCCACCCCCTCCAGGCGGCCCGCCCTCCCCTCCCGGGCTCGGGCTCCCGCACGTGGTCGGCACCAGCAGCCTCTCGGCGAAAGGCCGACGACAGCGAACGAGGAGCGGGCGGCCGGGAGCTAGCGCGGCGCAGCTTCGCGTACTGCTCGCCCTCCCCGGCGCCCTCGCCCCTTGCCCAGCGCAGCGCAGACTCGGCTTCACCTCCCTTCGTCCCCTTCGCGGGAGGCGAGGCTGAACATACCGCCTTTCAGGTGCTCGTGATGTTTCTCTGGGTTCGCTCCATTGCCGGAAAAGAATGGTAACATGAAGAGCGGAGCGTGAGAGCGTCACGCGGGAAGGGGAAGGGATTGACGGGCAGAGCGCTTACTTCGCGGAAGATCACGTTGCGAGGGCTGCGCGAGGCGAAACGGCGCGGAGCCTCCACTTCCTGGCTGGACTCCGCGGACGTCTGTAGCCTCCCTTCCTGCAGGTTCCCCGCTCGCGAGCCGCTGCCTGCGGAGGAGAGTTGAGACAGCGCGTGAGCCGCCAGGAGTTTGTGGACCTCCATCCAAACAGGAGTTGTGCTCCGGTGCCCGTGTCCCTGGATCCGTGTGGAGCCCGCCAGCACGCTGGCTTCAGAGGGAGTTGAACTTGAGTTCAGGTGGGTTATCCCGGGGGAGCACAGGAGGAGACAGACGTTCAGGGAAGACGAGGAAGGTGATGTTGCAATGTCAAAAGCGGACGCTTTTCTTCCTGACTCTTGCTGGGGCTGAGCCGCTTCCCCCCACGTCGTTCCCCCGACCGACCCGCTCCTCCCTGACCCAACCCTCCCCCACTAAGGGGGGGAAACACCACCCCTGCTGTGTTCTTACGTATCTAGAATGCTGTAGACTTTCATAACTTATGATTATGTGTCAAATCCATTGCTTTGTATTGCTTTATATGAAGAGAGGCTTAATGATTTCCTCAGTCAAGTCATTTACTTCTAAGCCAATAGATAATGCCTTCGTCATAGTTTGCTGGGGGGAAAGTAACTGTGCGTTTGTTCTGCAGATGCCCAACTCCCTCTGAATCCTGCAGATTGGTGCTGAGTACGCAACAAAAGTTTTTAGCCTCTCCTCAGTTTCTGGTGCTTCGCAGGGGAGAGGAAAGGACTTTGGCATTAAACACAAGAAGCAGTCAGGGAGCCATCTCCTCTAACTTTTCTTCTCTGTTATCATTTGCAATGAAGAGGAAACAGAAGAGATTTCTGCAGATGACTTTGTTATTCATGGTGGCTTTAATTTTCCTGCCCAATATTGGTCTCTGGTCTCTGTACAAGGATAAGCACTTGGTGAAATCTACAGAACCCGGGGAGCAGCAGGTAAGTGCCATCCGGAGAAAGCTCACAGGATTGGTAAGACGTGCAACTCGCGGGGACACAAGGAAGCAAGTGTGGTAGCCTTGGGTTTTCTCCCAAGTATTTGCAGGGCACGTATTACAAGACTCGAGACTTTGGGGTTTAAGAAAGTCCTTGTTTTAAGATCTCAACTAATGACGTGGGTGAAATGTAAAATAAACTAGAAAAGAAGGATAAGAGAGGAAGAGAAGACAGTCTCTCTCAGTTGGTCTTTAGGTTGATTTTAACTTGAGGTGTATGAAAGGTAACTGCTAATTTGTGGGATATGGAAGTGGGTTTGGTACAAGTTTAGTCACGGAGATTTGTTTTTGCTTTTCATCCGGTTTGGGTATCTACATTAAAGTGAACTGGGCCAATTAAATCATTAAACTTGTGAAGTAGTTCTCAAAAAACAAGCCACAGCTTTCTATATTTTTGGTTGTAATTTTTGCTTAGCAACAGCTTTTTACTCTGTGGAAACTTAAAGTCTCTGTTTTTTCTCTCCTGTTGCTAAGGTGGTGTGGTGGGGTATACAGGCAGAGTTATCGAGGATGTCTGTTCAGTTTCACAATCTGGTGATAATAGTTTGTTGCTAAAGGCTTTCCTTCATATTTGAAACACTGCGTAGTGTGGTATGTTTTGTTTTCACGTATATGCAATCTGTTAGTATGTGTAACACTCATGACCTAACAGAGATCAAAATAACGCTTTCTTAGTGAGTAATAATGCAAAAAATCCTTCACGAAGTGTTGATGAGAAGTAATATTGTTGAATTTCTTATTTATTAATAAGTAAGACAGCTTCTGTAATTAAACTTTTAACAATAGAATGCAGCCTTCTTCGTGGTATTGATGTAACACTTTTTTTTTTTTTTAACTAGTCCTGTGCATCACCTCAGAATATTAATATTCTTAATTTCAAGGGTCATCACCCACGTACACTGTGTACCTTCCACACATATTATGTGTTTAAATAAAAGTCCATTTGTGGACAACAGGAATATATATCAAAGGTAATTAAATATTTGTTCTTATACTTAACAAAGTTTAATCTCTTTATACAGTGAGTGGTATACATGTGAAATACATGGAGGTAATCTGCTTTTTCATTTTGAGAAGTGATGGTTATCAGTCTGTAAACTTTAAAGATAACTAGTTGCTTATGGATTTTTGGTAGATTGGAATTTTGAGGAAAAATGTTGACATGTTTTTATTTAGTTGTTGATCTCTACCATCCTTTCTAATAGGGATATAACTTTGATTTGAAGTATATTGTTTTGTCATTCCAGTGAAAAAAAGGAAGATGGGCACTTTGAATGTGAAACTTTTTTTTCCTATTTAGATCACTCATTTCTCCATCCTTGTTAAGAAACAAAATTTTGTTAACATTAGTAGTTAATACTAATGTTATTATGTAAAATTTCTATTTCAAAATAGTTAAACTAACAAAAGCAAAATGACTTTTCCTTGAGTTTTGTTAATTCAATTAACCATAACCATCTGAAGTATTTGTTGTATAGCTAACATAAAACACTAATTAATCTTATTAATGAGATCTTTACAACTTTCACACTGGGTCTTACTGATTTTGACTCTTAATGAGAAATTTGTTTGTATAATGGTATTAAAAAATGAAATATGGCAAATCAACTTTCTGACTTACTGTAATCTGCAAAAGAGTTTCCTTGTTCTGGTTCTTTTGTAGTACCAGTGATACTTAATATTAGGTAATAAATTAACCATTATGAAAGGCATGTGTTGGTAAGATAAGGAGCTGTTTCTCAAAGTTTCATACACTGTTGAGTAAATAACTGATGGAGATCTTGTGACATTCCAGTTTAATAATCCTCTGTAACAGTTTTGAAACCAAGAGTAAAGTCAGGCAGTAATATGCCATAAAATGAATGTCGATCACATACTTTAGTAGTTTTTAACCTAAATAATAGTTTTAAAACTAATTCTTACAGAAACAAAATAAAGTTAAAAAGGTAGAAATTGTCACTTACCGAAAGATAGAATTCATTGTAAAACAGGAAAAGATAAGCTTTTATGGGTTTTATTCCACTGTTAAATATAATTGGAAAGATAATTAGGATAGTTGACATTATACAAGTATTGGATAAGTAAGAGTTAAGTCATATATGTATTATAAATATATATATATATATATATATATATATATATATACACTTGACCAAATAAAAAAATGACTTTCAGTGATGAATTAAACATGCTCAATGTTGTGATATAATAGTTTGCTAATGTATCTATAAATCAATGTTAGTAAGTCAGCTAAACACACAGGTTTCCAATTGAAGCATGTAATTTGACTATTGGGTAATGTGTTATTTAAATTTAGCAGTTTGTTCTAAAAAGACTATTTCATGGTTAATTGCTAAAATGTTCTTCAAAAGCCATCTTTTACTATATTTATCCCTAAGTTGTAAAATCATGAGGGTAAGGATAATGTGCTGATTGAGGCATTGACAGCAGTAAGTACTGAAGCTATTCAAAACAAGTCACGTGCCCATATGAGCGGTCTATTTTTACAGCAGTTATGTGTAAAACAGCATGTGTGATGTGGTGGTGGTCACAGGAATTGAAAACCTTCACCATTTTAAATAGTTTAATTATTACAATGGGCTGTAGGGAAATACTTTAATTTATGGAGATTCAAAATCATGGAATGGCTAATACTCTTTAAGTTCTCCTAATTTGTATTTTATCAGAGCACATCACTAATAGTTTGTCTATCCACTGTTCAGTATAAACAGTATTTATTATATAATCTGAAACAAAGTGAGGGTAAACAGAAAACACTGATAGAAACTATACGTTAATTTTCATGCTGTTTAGTATTTTGCACATTTTTTCTCATTTTTATACTATTACAAGTTAATTGTATTTATTGTCATTTCATATTAAGAATAATTTTATGACAATTCCCTATTATAATATTTACCCATTCATGATGCAGAAAAGAAAAAAAATAAAAATTCCCAAATTATTCATCTAAAAGTTTTTTTTTTTCTTTTCTCTCACACAACCAAAGGGGATTGAAAAAATTTAATAATGCAGTAATTAAAGTGTGTATTTTATTGTTTGGGCTCTGCAAAGTTAGAATCCAGTTACTAAAATAATTTTTAAGCTTTTGAGATTTTTAATGTTTTAGAAAAGTTTGAAGATATTTTATAGTTTTGGTTTATATGTTATCAATCATAATTGTCATATGTTATTTTCAGTTGAGTAATTTTATCACTTTTTTGCTTTTATGGGGATGATATAATTATCCCCTTTGTTTTGTTTAGAAATATATACATATATTATAAAATAATCTATTGATAATGAATATGATATTTAGCTGAGAATGATTACTGTATGATTATTGTGTAATAATTCTTCTCATTTTTCTCTTAAAATTTGAATTGCTGTTCTTTTCTGCTTTCAGCTGCATTTAAATTAACATTATGTATTTAGATCTTAATTAAACAGGCATTAGGGTGATAATTAGAACAAAACAATATTTTAGAGCAAAACTACTTCACTCAGCATTATTATACCTTTCTTCCTAATTATTCACACAAGAATAGGTAAATAAAAACTACCCCCAAAACACTATGTTTTCCTAAATACATTGAAAAGCTTAATAAAACAAGTAGCTGTAGTTTTGGCAACAAAGTTGCAAATAATATGACTTGCAGAAATAATACAAGAATATTCAGAATATGAAGAAGATCTTGCAATATTTTTGCAAATCATTTTTTGAAATGAAAGAAGTAGAGTCAAATTTCCAGAATTTTAAATCAGACATTTTCACAATTATTCAGAATGATTTTAGAAACTTGTGTTTGGCCTGGATTTTTTTACCACATTAAAAACCCAAAACTAGATACTCATGTCACTTTAAAATTGTAGTACCTTCTTATTTCTTTGTACTTAGGAAGTTTTATTGATGAAATAGGGCTAATCATCATTGCCACATAAGGTACATAAAGTTCTGAAATCACATCTTGGGTATGGAAAGTATTGTGTAGTAATATTTTGTTTTTAGTCAGATCCATATGTAAGCTGTACATGACAGATGTGGGGCTTCACCTTCATTTAAAAAAAATAATCTTCTGAAAGATTTCTCAGCATCTTTGACCAGCTCTTCTAAATGTTAACCACATTTTGGGGGGATTCTTTCTTTTGGCTAAGAACATTTTTCCCCTGTGGCATTTTAAACCTGTTTTATGATGTGAAGATGTCAGATAATTGGTACTGAGTATATGCAAACTGTCTTATGCTTTTCTTTGTCATGCTGATCACTAAAGCAGTAGAGTGTGTCTGTGTTTCTTTTCCAGCAAACACCTTAGATATTGGAAGAGCTAAGGACAGGAGAAAAAAAATAAGGTTTTCTCTCTTCCTGCACTCAGGATTATCAGTGCACTAGATGTGAAATGATGCATTAGTTTGAGCCATACTGTTCTTAATTAGCTAAAATGTAGGTTTTAAATTAGGATTTTAAAGGACCTTTTCTTGAATTTATGGAAAATCCATTCTGACTCGCTACAGGATCACACCACACAGACCACTGTAACAAGTGTCTTAATTATTTGCTGTGACCTCGCAGATCGCAACATGATTAGTTCATCACCTTGCCTCCTGGGAAACTGTGTGAAACACAGTCTTCTGTTCACAATCTGGTAAAAAAATTAGAAGGTTTTTCTCCTGTCCATTGCTGTGTTGGATAAGCTGTGCTGAATCAATTAACCTCCTATATATTTTTTAATCTATAAAAGAAACCAAGTCAAGACGGAATATGTAGGGAAAAGGGTAAGGAAGTTTGGGTGCTTTAAGTGGTATAGAGAAGAGAATTGAGGTTTTTTTTTTTTTTTTTTTTTTAAGTTCTGTCAGGAGTAGCCATAGCCTTTAGGGAAGTTTGCAACTCTGTCTCCCTTGTAACACTTTTGTACAGATGAAAGTCAGCTAAGGTACATCAAGAAT